GCGGACAGTTGACTCCGTAGCCTGCTCGTTCATGACCTGCATACATGGATGTATACGTACACACTAAACTTTTCATTTGTGTGTGCATGTGTGCCTTCTCAGATTCCTCTGGAGTCGGAAAAGGGTTCTGTGAATCCTCTGAAACGGAGAATCTCCGATCCACTTTGGGCGACAGCTGTGCAGCCTCGGGGTCCTCAGGGGGGGTTGGGGCCGATACTTCGGGCGGCACATCGATTGGGGACGACTCTGCGGCAGGATCTGGCTCAGCTGCAACTTCAGGGACCGTTGGGGCCGATTCTTTGGGTACTGGGGACGACTCTGCGGCAGGAACTGCCTCAGCTGCAACTTCAGTGACTGGGGCCGATTCTTCGGGTGGCCCTTCGACTTGGGACGACTCTGCGGCAGGAACTTCTGGCTCAGCTGCAACTTCAGCGACCGTTGGGGCCGATTCTTCCGACGGCACTTCCAGTGCGGACGACTCGGTGGCAGGAACTTCTGGCTCAGCTGCAGCTTCAGCGACCGTTGGGGCCGATTCTTGGGAAGGGGCAGTTTCAGCGAGGGCTGGGGCCGGTTGCTTCGGTGGAAGAAAAACTGGCACTGGTGGGCGGTTCTTCTTGCTTGCGTACATCATGACTGGGCTGGTAGGAGCGTGGGAAACCTTTTCCTCCCCGTGCTGCATGATATCCATCGGGACCTGTGTGTCTACCTGACTGGGATCCACAGACAGATCTGCTGCTACAGACCCATCTGCAGCGCTTGCTGCTTCGTCATCTCCTGGCACCGCTGCCTGACCAAACTCCGCAACCTCAGCACCAGCTGACTCCGACTCAGCATCCAGGCCGCCATCTGGCCCCTCTGGCTCCGATTCAGTACCGTCGGACTGCTCATCTTCGGCTTCGGCTGCCGAAACCAGCTTCAGGATATCCTTGAGCATTTGTATCTCCGGTGTCCTGCCCATAATACACGATCTACATACCAAATACACATGTAGCTAGACACAATCGGGTCTCACAGGCCTGCTCCGCTCGGGGGATCGTCTGAATAGACGAATACCATAACAGCAGCGGCCCCGAAGGGAGCCGGCATTGAGGTCCACCCAAGCCTATCGGGTCAATATGTGCATGTACATGTACATGTATATACCCATTGAAGCACAGACTAAAAAATGAATATATATATATATATACATATAAATATATATATAAACTGAAATATATATATATATATAATATTTCTGTGATATATCGTCGTTGCAGTCTCCTCCCCTCTTTCTTCCAATCTGCCTCTCTCACTCACCTTGCTCTCTCTCTTTCGTTCGCTCCGTCGTCGGTTATAAATATAGTTCCACAGCTAGCCGTCCACACCTGGATGTCGCGCTTCTTCGATCCCGCAGGGAGAATCTCGTGTTCGTGCTGGATCCATGAAAAAGCCGCCTCGGTAAGAAAACCCAGCTGGCAGCTACACAAACATAGACACCATGCTATGCACTGTGTATAATTGATCGGCCGGGGCACTTTAAACTTGCCTAAAGCAGGTGTTTTCGTGCCGAAATTCGCATACAACAGCTGCAAGACATCATGAGCTTCATGAACAGCATCCTCGCAGACATACTCTCTGGCCGGCAGAGCATCGTGATCCTGAAAGCAAATAAATATATAGCTCGAATGTATAATCTGCTGGCGTGCTCATAGCGATTCTAGCAAGACACTCTGGATCGTCGCATCTCTGAAGCCAAAGAATATCCGCTCGGCTGCTTCGTCTGGATCCACTCGTTCAGCATGCTTGACAATATGTCGAGCCTTACACTAGAACATGATCGGACCTACTTGAACATGAGGGCGGAAATGCCAAGCCTAGGTGCTGTCGAGAAACTCAGGGTCACATTCCGGCTCCTGTGCCTCATTATCACGTTCCCCATTGCCAGCATGGGGCACGTTTGCAGTTGGATCCTGCTCCAAACTCATTATCACGGCCACGGATCTAGATCAAAAAACTTCTGCGGCTAGCAGCCTTTTGATCAGGAAGGGGCGCCCAAATTTCAAGCACCGAACACAGCAGCAACAGAGCAAACGATGCAAGCCATAGGAAAGCATGCACGGGTGGGCACACCTGATGGTAAGGTCGCTCGTCGGCGCACAAGCAAGTTGGCTTTCCGCATCCATCACGACCGGCTCCAACGGTCGATAGTCGACGTGCCGGTATGTACATGTGGAAATGCATGTGTGCACATACATACGTGTAGATGATGACTATATATATATATATGAATATATAATTATTAACAACGCAAACACACAGTGTCACAGACATATATAGAGGCAGCCTGTGTGCACATATTCGGGAATTCGAAACTTTGTGGACTTTGTGCATGATCTGCTCAGCTTTTAACAGGTTTGTAGTTGAAACAAACAGATGCCTGCAGCATACTGAGCTTCTGGGAAGCACAACATGACCCAAACCGGAAGTATAATGTTGATTACCGGCACACTCGAAACCAGAACACGAGAATCCTCAGAATTCTACAACGGAACAAAGGGGTCCAGGAACCGGTTCCTGGAACCAGGGGGTTTTGAGCCATGGCCCCCAATAGTCGGTTCATGGCCCATGGCCCCAAATATGTGGAACCGGAGGGCTTGGGTCATGGGGATAGCGAAGGCAGGATCGTGAATTCAGAGTTCCTTCGCCTTCGGCCAAGCTCTGAGCAGCCCGGAAGTAGTCTGCAGGTTCCTAAGGCGACTTCCTCAGCCATGGTACTATGGGGGCCTTAGAAATTACCTATACCATTTTGGGGGGGCTCCTTATGATAATTATGGCGTAATGTACCCCAAAACCCTGTTCGAATTATTAAGGTCCCTACAGGAATTGTGATGCACTTCCAACCGCATCGAACCTGCCACGCTTACCGAATAGAAGCTAACTTGTGCTCAAAATATGCAAAGCAATGGAGTGCTCAACTGAATAAAATGCTGGTGGCTGCAGTGAGTTCGGACCGGTTTGTAAATTGCAACAGCCAGCTAGCGAACGGCAGTAACGGGACCCTCAATGGTTTTGCGTAGCCGTATTTGTTCGTCCTGCATGTATTTTGGGGTGTTACGAAACCGCCACCTTAGCCAGGTGCGCCCTAGATGCCGTCTCGAACATTCACAGGCATCATTGGGCAATCAGGCGCCATCTGAACCCTAAACCCTCGACCTCTTTCAACCCTAAACCCTAGACTCTAAGCGCTAAACCCCTAAACCCTAAATCCTTAACCCTAAACCCTTAACCCTAAACCCTAAACTGTAAGCCCTTAAACCCTGAACCCTAAACCCTAGACCCTAAACCCTAGACCCTAAACCCTAAACCCTAAACCGTAGTTGTTCGTTGGATTTCTCGACTTGGGCTCTTTGCAGTAAAGATCCGAATGTATGGACTGCACATGGGTAGTTCTCTAAATGAGGTCCCTTTTTAGGTCCCCAATGCAGTACGGCACCCTTATAAAAGGACCCCCAAAAGGGACCCTAATTTAGAAAACTACCCACATGGAGCACCCGCTTTCGACAGCGAAAGTTTCAACATGGCAGGATTCCAAGGACTTCCAAAAACAAGATCCCCAACAGGGACCCCAATTTGAGAATCCTCCTTCGTTCTCCCCCGCCCCCGCGCGCGCACGCGAAAGCTTCATGTCCAAGACCTGGATAGATCTCAGCCCAAATTCAATCATAGGGGAGAAGTGTGCAATCGTGAACTATAAATACCCTTTTCAGGGTTCGGGCGGTTAGGGTTACCTTGTATACAGCCTGACAACCCCGCTTGCAAAGTCACAAAGCCTGAGTCTTAACACCCTCATAGACTGCTGAGGGCTCAAACCCTAAACCCTCGACGCAAAGACCCTGGACCTGAATCCCTAAACCCTAAACTAAACCCTGAACCCTAAATCCCTCGTAATTGGCGTTGGTTGAAGCGTTTTCAAAAAAATTGGAGTCTGCTGTTCCGTCTCCTGAGGGCTTTAGCGTGCTTCGGGCTCAGGGATTTCGGGTTTCAGGGTTTAGGGGTTTGGCTTTAGGGTTTCAGGGTTTAGGGTTTAGGGGTTGGGATTTCGGGTTTCAGGGTTTAGGGTTTAGGGGTTAGGGCTTGGGGTTTCAGGGTTTAGGGTTTAGGGTCACTCAGACTGAGAACACCGACCTGCTTTTGTGTAAGCCCACTCGAATCTGAACGGGTTGGACGATCATGCTTACCGTAGCCTTTCTTGTTTGGGGTCTCCTTACTGTAATTGTAGTACAGTAGACCCCCACACCTTAATCTAATTATTACGGCCCCTATATTAGTTGTGGCATATGGTTGTCCGCCGACTAGAGCCCGGCTAGCAGGTGAGTTGGCTGCTGTTGGAAGTGCATTGGTGCGGGACCCCGGGTGCCTCCAAAGAAGAGTTGTGAAGCATGTTCTGGGTTTAGGGGTGCTATGTGGTTTTCGTAAGATTTCAGTTTTTGTTGGGAGCTGCACCGCCGTTTGAAGCGTGTCGTGCTCAGGCTTTGTAGATGGTTTGGCTGCTGGGGTTGATCCCTTCGCGAGGCGTCTTCAGGCCTGAAGCGGCTCGACACTACTACCGGAGCAGTCGCCCAACCCAAGACTTGCACGCCTTCTTAATGTAGGGGCTTAAATCATTAGAATACGGTTTTGGGGTTCCTTATAATAATGACCGTATGATATACCCCGAAACCCTATTCTAATTATTCGGGCCCCTGTATTAATTATGTTTGCTGTTTACTGTGGATGCGCGTCCACAGTCTCGCAGTCGGAAAAATCCCGCCGTGTTTTCCGACTTGTAATCCTGCTCGAGTCGTCGGCTAAAGCTGGCCTGTTGCATTGTGTATGTATATCTCTATATACAGATATATATACATATGTATTTATACATATACATATACATATATATATATATATATACATACATAGACATAAACATATACATATTATGTGTTACCATGTATGTCTGTATGTATGCATGTATGTATGCATGTACTTATGCATGTATGTATGTAAATATGTATGTAAGTATGTACGTACGTACGTACGTATTTACGTATGTATGTATGTATATATGTATATGTATGTATGTATGTACGTATATGCGAATGTCTGGATGGACGGATGGATGGATGGATGGATGGATGTATAGATATGTGTGTGTGTGCGTGTATATGTATGTATGTATGCATGGATGGATGGATGGATGGATGGATGGATGCGTGTGTGTATCTATGTACGTGTAAGTACATGTAGATGTACATAAACACACTTACGTAAATACAAATCTATGAGTATACTTGTAAAACTGTAAGCGGAGGTATATAATCCCCCCTTGTATTAAACGGCTTATTAAACGGCCTCCCCCCCAAATAGAAGCTCGGAAAATGTTTTTAGTCTTAGGGTGCCACTTTTGGGGGGTCCGGGCTCTCCCCCCGCGCTGGCTTTTGCTCCTGCTTTTGCTGCGTCTTTTGCGTCCTGCTCTTGCTGTTGCTCCTGCCTTTCATGCTCTCGCTATTGCTGTTGCCTTGCTCTTGCTCCTGCTCTTGCTCTTTCTCCTGCTTTTGCTCTTAGTCTTACAGTGCTCAAAGTGTCATTTGGAGCCTCGAAACCTTCCCCCCTAATTCAGAGTAGGTTTTAAAGGGCAGTGATAATTTCGAGAGGATGGGCCCCAAAGTGTTTTTACTAGTAGGTTAGGTGTTGAATAAATGGGGGAAGGGATGACTTATCCTTCAACCTTATTCCTGAGGAAGCGTGGAACATCTACTGGGTCTTCGAAAAAGAAATCGAGCTTTCGCCTGGGTTTAAAAAGGTTTTTTGATTTGGGGTTTGCGACAGTTAGGGTACCTTATTTTGGGGTCCTTATAATAAGAATCCTATTATTTAGGGTACTATAGTAGGGTTCAGGGTCTTAAGGTT